CTTCAAAAATCTGGACAATTTAAAGATCCGGACTATAGTCTTCTGTAAACCTTACTAAAATAAAAATTAAGCATATTTATAGCAATTTACACATTTTTAACAGTCAAAATTAAACTGATGATAATGATGAGACTTCTCAATAATTAGGGGTGAAATAAACTTAAGACAAGCTAAATAAATATTTTGTAGATTAACCATACTCAGATATGAACAATGGAACTCGGCTATGTATGCCTATGACAAACAGTAGGCCTATTCGCGTGACAATCACCGAGCTATTTACTGAATCACTACTGCTTTATTATAACGCCACTAAGATGCTTGTCTTGAAAAGCATCGATGGATATAAGTAATTTTATCTTTAGATACACTCTGTAAATGTCAAAAAAGTTAGCGAATAGGCCACCTGTTCTCACATTATGGTTTGATAAATGCAACTTATCCTTTACTTAAATCTAAAGAACGTTTAAAGTATAATTTTATGTGTAGTCGGTGCCAATGTCAACACAGTACCCTTAGCACAAAACAATATCGAATTCGGATAGTTTACGAGTCCAAAATCATTTTCAAATGTGTACTGATTTTCAGTTCTCGTTTACGTACTTTGTGGCGCTGCTGTTCAAGTTTCCATACAATATTTGATATTGACATTTCGCAATCTCAAACTATTCGAATTCGATAATGGTTCGTGTCAGGGGTACTGCTTATATTGATAGAGTTTAAGGTAACACATCTGTTTGGCAGGCTCGCTTCTTTAGTTTTTAGAAAATTGAGGAGGTAGATGTATTAGTTTTGTCGAAGTGATTCTTAGTGTTCCATACCCAAAGGGTAAAAACGGGACCCTTTTACAAAGACTCCACTGTCCGTCTGTCTGTCACCAGGCTGTGAACTGTCATAGCTAGACAGTAAATTATAAGAGATGATTAACCTTTGCATTTGCCGCTATAACAACAAACACCTACTAAAACAGAATAAAATAAATATTGAAGTGGGACTTCCATACCAATTGTATATTATGAATTTCTTGCCGTTTATTTAATGCTCGATATTATAACAAAGTGTCTAATAGTACGGAATCTTTCTTGCGCGAGCATTGGCCTTGGCCGGTTTTTTGCATATTTTGTTTTTCTTCTTTACTAAAATGCAGTAAATGGCATAGGAATTCTCTACCAGTCAACCAGTAAGGGTGTAGGAGACGAATGTTATGGCGATAGAGTGCGAGCTACTAAAGTTAGAAAAAAAAATCCTACTTTACTATACTATACTATAAAAACAAAAAATGGTTGTATCAACTTTTTTTTGTTTTTCCTTGTCCCCAGGAGTTTAATTATTTTTTTACATATAAAAAAGAGTAAATTCTATATTTTTATATGGTTAATATTGATTTAGATCAATGCACAATAACTTAGGAATCATTAATAAACATTTACATTTATTTCTTGTGTTTTTTGGTTAGGTACCCAGAGGACATTTTCGGGGTCCCATACAAAAATCTGAGCGACAACAGCAACTTGACTTTACATTTCGAACTCTGATGTAAAAAAAATGTATGACGATCTTTAAGTGTTATATTGCATCATAAACAAAAAAGTCTATTGTTCTTAATTTATGTAGAAACAATCAAGATATTTTTTTATTTATATCATCAATTACATCCTAAATATGCGTCCCTGTCAGAGTCGTAGTGATTTTAGTGTCCCCTTGCTTACTCAACATTTAGAGCGTATTAGGAAGTAAAATGGCACCACAGCTGGTAAGACCAATCAAGAAGCGTTCTAGATCTCACGTGATCCAAGTTGTGATCCCCGTAATTGTTAATTAACTCGGCCATTTCGCCCGCCGTCAGAAGTGAGGTCGGGGCTGATCTTTGCGGTTCCGCTGGGAGACGACGTACTTTCGTAAGTATTTTGAACTTTTAACACATTTTGAACTGAAATATAATAGGATTGTAGGCTAATACGACGTTTCAATATGAATTTAACTGATTTGACAGATAATGACACAGATATAAACATTATCACTGTTAATTGTCCCCTGGATCACTGGTCCCCTTACTCACTTTTCAGGTTACCCCAGAGACGATTGCAGTGACTCAGGTGACGATAGCCGTCTACTTTAGGATTTAATGTTGAAAATAAAGAAAATGATGGAATATGCTGCGGAGATTTCTTGAATGGTAATGTGTATACGAAAGGTAAAATCAATAAAAAATTGTTTCATTTATTTGTAAAGTTGACATTTACCTAACAAACCAAATAGTCCCCCTGATGTTGTGCTGATTGTTTTAATTTATTAGTTTGGTACAAGTATTGCTATGTTGTAATTTTTATGTAGCTAGTTTTTATTTAATGGGAGATGCCCGCCCATTTTTTGTTTATGAAAAATCTTTTTCTTTTTAAAGATTATGAAGAAGTTTAAGTGTATGTTTTCAATTAGTGACTCCAGAGACATAGTTTTAAGAAATTCCATGAAAGACTTGATGGTTAATTAGTATGTGAAGAATGATTTTGTATTTTACTGTATACTTCTTAAAATTACAGTAATTTATTCATCATATTTTTAATGTTTTATTTACCTAACTATCAGTCACTCAGAGGAACCATTTTGACACCCAAATTTACTCTGAACCTTATAACTAGCTAAATACGTATTAAAGTTTGAGGCCCTTTTAGAATATTAAAGATCAATAAATAAAGTACACATCATAATTAATTAAAATAAGAAATATGGATGTTTTTTGTTTCTAAAATTTGTTCATACATATTATAAATAAATAATAAATCATAAAAACATATATGAATAAAGATATATAAAATAAACATACACATATAATTATATACATACACTAAATTAGTAAGAAATAACTAAATATGATGATATAGATGACAAAACCTTATTCGGTTTTTTGTGTATCAAAAGTGGAGAATTCGATTCGTGTTTAGTAGCATGAAAATATGATCCGTGTCAGGCTGTCAGCTCGTTTGTAAACAGGAAAAAGGGCCCTTAATGTTTTTTTTTTGCCAGTGTGAAATGACGCAGTGACTATCAGTTATCACCAGCCCATCGCCAGTTTTATTTTGTTTGTTTATATAGATAATACGAACGACTTCGTTAACGATTTTTCAGTTATTGACTCAAATAAATTTTGAACAATACCAGATATAAAAGTTGATGTACTTACAGGTAAAAGATATGTGAATTATTCGAGTTTTCTTCTAAGTGCCTTAGTTATTGCTATATTTCAATCAATTGTTAATCTAATACAAGTGTGAGAGTCTGACTAGCACTTACAAAACATAAGAACTAAGGAGAGCCACTGATCAAATTAGTTTTTCTTAGTACCGCTGCTTAGTTTTTTCGTATCGTTTCATTATTTTACAATTTTATTCTATTATTTTATGTATTTCTTAGAAATAAACCGACGGCGTTACGCGCATCTCTTTCCACCCTAGTGAGACTACCGGATGGCAGACAGGGTGCTCTGCCATCCACATAAAGTTAGTTATTTTTCATAGATAACGAGTTATTTTATGTTTTTATTATCATCATCATTATCAGTCGTACAATGCCGACTGCTGAGCAAAGACCTCCCCAAATCTCCAGAGCGTTTATTCCTGCTCTATTGGCATCCAGCGGCTTCCTGTTACTTTCACCAGATCGTCGGTTTATCTGGTGAAGGTCCGATGCAGACCGAAGGTTTATTAAGCCCAGAAACGCCAGGCAAATATTTGCTGTATAACCTGCCACTGTGTATAAATGTGCTCTATGGTATTAAAGCCTTTTCGGATCCTAGCTTGTTTGGGGGATGGATATCGACAAAACTGTGTGCCAGACGATTCTTAATGACTCAGAATTAAGATTGGTAGATAGTTCCTCAAGATTGTCTTGTCTTTCTTTACGGAAATTGAACCACCTTAATCATGTTCTATGCTTTTGGTGTTTAGTGCAGCCTTTGGGGAAAATGTAATTGTAAAGCTTCTGGAGGACTTTGAGTATCGAATAAACCTAATATTGCTTTTAACAGATGCTTATGTAGATTATAACTGACCAAAGAAACTCTCAACCCCTCCCTGGATTTCATTTTGTTACGGAATATTTAAAATAATTAGAATCAGTCTGGATTTCTTCAAAACATAAGCACATCCAAAAACGTAAGTTATCACACAACATATCCACAGTTGCAAATGGATGAGTAGCACCGAGAGCGCAGCGAATCACGCCACTCCGTATGTGCCCTTTTCTCACCTTACTATTTTAGGTTTTTACTTAGTCCCGAAAGTAACGAAAGTTCCATTTTAGTCTTTGCAGAATCCCGGAATTTTCAGGACCGGGATTTCCTGGGACCATTACGTAATAGCAACCTTTAGATTAAGTGAGTTGTAAAAAAAAAGTTGAATTACACTTAATTGGGAAGCAACAAGTTGAAAAAACATGACTGAGAATATAATAACGTAGTAACTTAAACAACAAGACAAGAAAAAAACATGTTATCTTAACTTTTGCTTATGCAACAAGTTATTATTTTTACGATCGTTTACATGATGTACATTGAACAGTTTATATGAATCTTTGTCAGCCTCAAAATTTAGATATTATGTATACAGAATGCTATAATACAACGCTATTACGACATGGTGTGTTGAAACTGTGTCATGAGAAAACCAAATTTAGGTTTAAGAGGTATAACACCCGTATAATATCTTCGCCACAAAAGCAAAATAAGCAAAATATTCCCTTTGTTATGTTTTGTATAGGCGAGCCAGCAGACATCTTAAGAAATTGAATTGGCGTAATCGTGTTCTCGCAGTGAAAAGGGAAATTGTATTTCATATAGAAAATAAATCTATATCGTAAGAAAATGGTCTCATAACTGTCATGGAAGTATAGAAGGAAGAGGGTATACTCTGACAGTGGACCGTGGTGCACGCTTCAGTTATCTTATCTGGTTATATGGTCATTATTATCATCAGCCTATTGTCCTCATTGCAGGAGCACAGGCCTTCCCTATGAATGGTATAGTGGATTATTTATATGATTTACGGAAAATAAATTTTAACCACATAGTTGCTTTCTGCTCGGACCATGAAGAACAATAATTCTTACTATAATAGTAATTTTCTGCGATTTTATATTTACAGAGAGCCGTACAAACTGAATCCTAAGCAGACAGCACCGCGGACTGATCCTGCTTATTTATTTGGTGTGAATGGATGAATACTTATTTCGCTTTTAACAGTTATGTGAATGTGGATATTTAATTAACTTATATCTGTTAAGATTTCAAACGTAAATGTTTGAACAAATAACATTACAGATTGGAAATTTATTTTTTATTCAATAAAAGACATTGTGTTTGTAATATATCATCAGTATCCAACCCTTCTTCTCTAAATTGCACAAAGATAAATTTAAATGCAACACTTAATATAAAAGAGACATTATCACTATTCCATATTGATAGCTAGTTACATTTTATTTTTATACTTCTTTTAATTGAGAACAACGTAAATAATTTCTTTTTCTATCATTTCACAAGAACATGTTTCCCATTCTTACTTTTTCTTTCCCGTAGGTTTGCGTTTATCAGCCATTCCTTTAGAGCTAGATTTCACAGGCTTCACAAATTCGTCAACAATCTTTTGAATTGGGTACAATTTCTGATCCGCAAGAATTAATATTTGGGATCGGCGATGATTTAGAGAGTCAAAGGCACGAGACAAGCATGATTCTATAGCGTCTGCGCTTTTCATTAAAGATGCACGAGCTTTAGTTGCCTCTTGCGCCGAATAACGTCCACCTTCACTATGAAGTTTAAGATGCGACGCGAAACGGACGTTAGAAATACGAGCTTCCTGTATTCGGTTTTCCATTTGCTTTTTGCAAATTTCAATGGCCGCGTTGAGTGAATTTTCAAAAAGCATTCGATGTTTGGTTAAGCGCAGGGCGTAACTGCACATTTTCAATCTCACTACTTCAGCATCGATCGGACCTTGAGTCATAAGAGCATCTATATTATCTCTGATTCTATCTATCCATACACTGAAAGGATACAGCTCTTGAGCATCTAGAGACAAGTAATCGGCGGCAATAAAAGGCAAGCTTTCAACTAATTCGTAAACGGCACTGAGATGTGATTCCAAACGTAAATCGTGATGTTTTAATTCTGCCAGACGTAGATTGTAAGCAGCTTTTACCCGTTCCTTTCGTATGCTATGAGAGATAAGTTTCAGTGAATGACGCATGTGTAACGTTCGCGCTTTTTCGTCTATCCACATCCTAACATGGTGTATAAGTTCCTCGCGCAAATATGATACATTATTTGCAAATGTTTCAAGAAAACCATTTCTCCAATTTAACAAATATAAGCCTTGCAACTCTGTCTGTAATATTGCCCGTGGTAATGGCGTTTGCAATGAATTAACATCTAACCTGTGAGTATTTTCGAATAACTCGTTAGTTTGTCTCAAACCAGTATCTGATATGGGAACTGGTGCTCTCGGAAACTTTTCTAGGAAACAATTATATTCAGATATTAGTACGTTGGTCATCACTTCTGGAAAATCCATAAAACATTCCAACCGTTTTGATTCAGAATCACCATGTTGTTTATAAAGATCAGCAGCTCGGTCAAGCATTGCTAAAACGATATCATACTGTTGTTGTAATTTATCAACGTCTGATACGGATCGCAACTGTTCCAAGGCAATATTGTATGTAACTTCATTAGCAAGTTCAATAGAATCATTACTAGTAAAGAGGTCCTCAACACAAGCCATTGTTAATTTTTGCGCGAGTGCAGATCTAACCATGTGGGCATCCCAGAGATGAGCTGAGTCATGTAAAATATTATATGTGTCTCGGAGCCTTTCTCCCAATGACCATAAACTTTTCTGCATTTCTAGAGTATCTGATCGCACCGAATCACCTGATGTTCGTTTTTCCAGATCTATCGGCAACCGTAGTAAAATTCGATCAATCACAGTTTGCAAGTCCATTCCAACATCACTTTGAGGTGTCATCCTCAGAAAGCTTGAAGTACCTATGTGACTGTGTAAATCACTTAATTTTCCAGTGAAACCATTTAATATATTAATAACTGCCGTTCGATATGCTTGTACTAAAAGTGAGACACATTCATCAAACTCTTGTACATCATCTATTATTTGGCCTATGGAGTGTTTCATAATTCCAACTCTGCTGTCGAATGAAGCACTAGCAGTTCGACGATACGGTATCTTTTCTTCGTGTTGCCAAGGATAAGCACTATGTCTGTGACCTTCTACAGTATAACCCAAGCAGATTTGATTAATGTTGGACTTAATTGCAATAATAAGTTCATGAAGTTGTGCATGCAGTTGAACCTCTAATTCTGCGTAAGCCCTGGAATTACTTAAAAGTTGCTGATTGATTTCGTATACCTGCTGATCAAACTCATGAAGCAAGTCTCTCGGGGGACGATGACCGATACATATAAGACGTTGAAACTGCTCTTGTAATATTTTCCTTATTTCATCAACTCTCTGTCTTTCTAAGGCTAATGCTTCACGTTTGAATGTAGAAAGTTCACCGATATGACGTGAATATAAATTACTTACACATTTAAGAGCATTGTTTCTCTCGGCCTGATAAGTATCGCCATTTCGGTTAAGATTTTCAACGACGCAATTTAAATCTTGTTCATTATGCTTGATGTAAATTAGCAAATTTTCTGATAGTGCTCGAATTTTTGAATCAATATTGTGATTGATTACAAGAGCATTTTTTGTGATATTTTCTAACACGTTTTCATGATTTATCTTGCTTTCTTTGAGGTAGTTCGTAAGAGTAGGGCCAGCACGTTTTGGAACCCAGCTATCTGGTAAAGCCGCCACTGCTAAGTCATCAAGAGTGCAACCCGGCAAAGCAACCATTACGTTCTTTCGTTGTATATTTTTACAGCAAAGTTGTTTTTGTTCTCCAGGATAAGTTATTATAGATTTTGCCATCTCGTCCTTTCATTCATAAATACATAAGAGTATAAAAGATTATATAAATACAAAGATTAACAATGTAGTCATGTCAGTTTTGAAAACAAAATACACAAACTTATGACTGTCAAAATTAATACTCTTCAAAAAAGGATTTAAGTGTTAAACTGACTAATGCTAGCCATACACACTACGAGAAATCGTTACGATCAGACTGTACAGTCCGAACGGTACCGATGAATCGTAGCGTGTATGTTATAAAACTGCACAGTTTCCTATACGTACGCCACGTACCATAAACTGTTCTGTTCGAACTGTACAGTCTGATCGTAACGATTTCTCGTAGTGTGTATGGCCGGTATATTTAATGTCAAAATCGTTAAAAAAAAAAATTATGTTTATTTGCGGCTTTTTTTCTCTGTATAAGTATCATATATGGAAATGACACGAAAACATATACATACGTAGCTACATTGTTATTTGGTATAGAAATTACAACTATAGTGTAGTCTCCTTTTTACATTCCTATTGATGAATATGGAAAAGACACCAGCACACTATTTCGCAATATACGCTACAGTAGTGACAATCTATATCTCATACAATTGTACTCATGTCGCCATCTTAGTTCCCCATAAGTAGTCTGTGGTTCCCTAGTTTGTTTACTAATAAACTCAAAGTTGTGGACGTGATTATTAATGGAGGAATTTAAAACCGTGAAAATAATTAAATTTATGTTTGTGGCCTGTGTCAAAACAAAAATAGATTTAACCTAAGTTTTCACCGGTAAATAACTAATTTAACTAGAAATTGCTATTTTTACAAGAAGTTGATCATTAAACTATATTCAAAATACAGCTTAAGAAAGCAAAGGTTACAGGAACCAAAGCCTGTTGCCTCGCAACGAATTTTCTTGTAGTTTACAATAGTAATCTAGAAACGATAGTGTTGTACCACCTAATCAATCTCGGTCTTATCGATATTTAAATCCCCATTTTATTTGCTTTGCCTTAAACTTAACGTAACTACAAAAAAGCTAATAATATAAATAATAAAAAGCGATTACAAATTTGTTACTCTAAGATATTCCGAATGAAAATTATGATAAAAACTTGCTTATCTGTTTTTTTTATTTTCCCTTTTCAGTCCACATTTGTATATTTAATAATTTTGTAAAAACTATAAAATAAAAAACTTAGCCTCTAGTGAAGGTACCATAGTCTAGACTTCTAGATCTAAAAAAACCGCTTATTCACTAGATATAGTTTTTATAATTTATAGTTTTTACAACATTATAAAATATACACATGCAATAACCAAAACATAATTAGAATAAATGGGTTTCAAAAATTGTATGCAGTGGTACCACAGCTCCTTAGCGGACTGGGACTGCACCCGAACTACCTTGCTATATTTTCCATGCATCCTGAAAAGGATGCGAAACGTCAAAACTACAGTGAAAAATTATTAAAAACGCATTTATACTCGTTTAAAACTTGTTTCATTTAATGAGTCGTGTGCGTGAAAACTTAGAAACAAATATATTTTGTTTTGTTTTTTGTTTGAGGCCTGTTATCCATCCTGCTCAAATGAATCTCATTCATCCGTATATACTCAGACTGACCTAGAAATGTTTTTTTTAAGCAGCTGAGTTATTCGCTAGTGGTATATATAATTCACAATTTTCAGTATATTTATTAAAAACTAATTCTTAACTGGTAACAGTGTCAGGCTAGTGACCAATGTTTCGACAGCCCGTGTATCAGGACGGGCGACACACATGATCCGTGGCCCGTCACCATCAAGGTCGACCACCAGCTATAGCGTGCTTGGTGGACGACGGCATGGTCAGGAGAGGACGGATTTAAAGAGGGTGCCCCTCTTGCCAGAGACAAGCAAGATGGGCCTAGAGAGGAAGGAAGAGGGAGAAGTTTATCAGAGGATCAGATGAGAAAAAGGAAGAACGAAAGGGACCTTGAAATGGTTAGCTGTTTAGTCATTATTATTATTATATTATAATTATTTTAATTACAGTTTTTAATTATTGAAGAGCTGAAGAATGCTCAGGAAAATATATTGCAGCAAAGAAAGAAATTTAAGTTTCTCAATGAAACGGTGCGTCGAAAAAAAAAACAAACTAAAAAGCTTTAGGAATATTTTAATAGAAAAAAGCAACCTATGTTTCATGCCGGTTCTTCTCAGTATACAAGGTCTCCCGCCGTAGATTTGCGAACCGAAGGCGTAGCTTTCGACTTTCATATGTGCTTGAAAAAGCCTAAACGGAATATTTTTTTTTTAATTTTAACATCTGAAATTAATGTTTGTTATTAAAACTTGAATTTTATTTTAAATAATATATCATCGATATGCCCTTGAGTTACTTTTAGTTTAATTTTGTAATAATGTTTTATTAAAGTTAATAAGCACTAGCCTTTATCATAATGTGCACATGCAGACGAATAACGAAAAGGTTTGTGAAATTTACTAAGCGATTTCTTATTGCTGTACTTGTCCTTAATAACAGTGATAGAATTTAACTTACATTGAATAAAATTATCTCCGATTGTTTCCGAAGTTTAAATACATTCTTCTCTCTCTTCAACCCTTTTTCTACAGTATATTTGTTTGACCCTATATGCTTTGACCACAGCAAATAAAACAAAATATTTATAAAAAGTATCGACTAAAGACATCCTACGTCCGCAATTTTGGCGCCATAGTACATGCTTGTGTCATTTCCATATGATACTAATTCAGAGCTTTTTTTAGGCAACCCATCACTATGGGCTATATTTCATCGGGACACCATGGCGGTCGCGCTACCGTGGTGTCTGTAAGCTACCAAACTAGACACCATACAGACACCAGAGTCACCACGGCACACTTAGACAGTATCAAAATGGATCTCGAAGAGATAGCACTACTGCTGTATGTACGTAAGAAAAGAGAGTTCAAGAGAAAAAAGAAACAGTGGTGGGTTCTCTTTCTATCGGAATAATCTGATGAGGAATTATCCCAAATTGATGGTCTACTTTGAATTTCAATAATAAACCTTTCTGTATCAAAATTATCCATCGCTATTCAATTAACAAACAATTAAAATAAGCAATTAAAAAACAAAACATACAGTGCACACGTGTTGCATGGAATGAGGTGGGGGCGTCACTGGCAATAGCAAAGGTGAGTAACTCTCTATAGAGCTGTATACATTATGTTGGTAGCGGCGACTGGTTGCGCCGCCATGGTGTCCCGGTGAAATATAGCTCTATGTATATGCATTATATACTCAAAAATTACTCTCTTAAATATTGTTGTTAACCAGTCGCCGCTACCAATGCTTTCGTTGTAATTTATGGTCCGAATTTTCTATTACCTTGCAATGCAACATGTATTTATATAAATATAGATTTTTTCAAAGTCGTGTGTAATATTATCATACCTAAATAGTATTAATAAAATAAATTTAAACTAAACTTGATTGAAGTTAACTTCTAAAAGCTTTGGGCTGAAGAACAAGAATAACAGGCGAAAGAAACTTCTCAGCTTTTTATGAAGTTTACTATATATATGGGACATTTACTTAAAAATATGTCGTTACCAATACATTAGTATAATAACATTATTTATAACACATTTGCTCGTAAAGCGTCTCTTATTCCACCAATTTCAATATCATTATCTATCACATTACACACGCGTGCGGTAATGTAAAGTAAAACGCACGGCTTATTATGTTCCGTCTAAAAACAAACGATACTTTTTTAAATCTTTAAGCAATCTAGCAAAGAGTTTTTATGTCAGAAAGGTAGCCAACATTTTCTTAATAAAATTAACTTTGGGAGATAAAATATAATATATAAACAATTCTTTAATTTGATTCATTTTGACAATAAATTACAACCATATATCGGTAACAAATTCACAAAAATATTAATTTACTTTATCAGTAAGACTGGCTGTTTCTTTGCCTAAAAAAGCGTTGATGCGCGCGCATCGCTCATCTGCGAAAAAGTTATTTCTTTTAGCTGTATTCTTTTTATTTGAAAATACATATTGTCAAGTAGTAATGAATTTATTAATTTGACACCGCCAGAAGGCGAAAAAGGCTACGCTAAGCCTCTTGCCCGAAAAATCCACGGATAGTTAATTACAGTAAGCGTATCAAAATTTCAAACAAAGGTGCAAATTCATTTTCAGAAAGTACGTACGTAGGTAGTATTATTTCCTCGCAAATGTATTATAAAACATCGTATGACATACGTGCGGTTTGATAATTACAGCCTCTGCCTTCTTATAGCCCTCACCTACAGCTCGGGCTAACAATATCGCCTCGGCTGTAATTCTCAACTTACCGCACTTATATCATAATGTACTATTATGTGTTACACAAAACAGGAAAAGCAAAGAAAAATATATGTTATATCATATTACATATAATCGTATCCATTATAAATGTATCATAACATCAGATGTTATTTTTCTGTATCCAAACAGCAAATTCTGCTTTTAATTTAACAAAAGAATGAAAGAAAGGGCTCGCATGCTATTACAACATGCTCGTCAGAACAAATATGTTTAGATTTATCAGTTGGAAACGAAAATTTATAAAGGTTGAGTAAATATTATCATTAAATAAAGGGAACAGACATTTCACCAAATTCTCGTTGGATATTTATGTTAATTAATATAGGTAATCAGACGGTGTTTATTATCAAGTAAATGTAGTAGGCTACATAAGTTAAGAAGAAACCTTTCTACGCAATAATTATTATCTATTTTTTCATAAACATAGATGAGTAATATTTATAAAATTATAAGTTTGTCTGACCTGCTATTTTTTACGATACAGTTTGACATTTTATTTGTTATTTTTCTTCTAATCATATGCGAGCAAACAATCGCAGTAGGAATAAAAAATAGCGATTGAATATATATCCATATTAGGGGAGCCTGTTAAACTAATGTAGGCCCTCCCGCAATGATGGGCCTTCTTGCATTTACACTAAAATATAAGAAATTTGCATTTTTTTAAAACAATGTTTTATTGTCATTGTTTCGCACATGCTACGAAAAGCAATCTATAGAGGACACGGAGCATATATATGACCCGCCGACATGTCTCGTTAATGTGAGGGGACCACCCAAAGGAACAGTCAATGTGCAAACCAAGACTCTTAACA